GCCCAAATTCTCCCCCCTCCCAGGCACAGGCTTTAGGTTGGAAAAAATTCTTACTTTAACATTTTTTCCAGCTGAACAGCTACAACAGTAACTAAATTTGTGGGTGCATTACCTTAAAGGAGTAAAAACCTTGCAAAAATATTGAAACTGAGAACATTTTTATAATTAGCTGCCAAGACTGGAGGGAGGAAACACAAAGAAGAACACTCAGAATTAAAGCCCTTCTTTTCCTATTGTTCATTTGGCAATTTTGCAATTCTAATTCTTTACTCCCTTTGCAAACATGACAGTGATATCTTTAAATCCTATTTAACTGATTTATATACAGAATCCAATGCAAAAAGCACTTCTATAGCACCTTTCATCTGAAAAGTCAGTATACTCTACAAATAGCAATTAAACTTCCTAACACTTAACTACCTCCTCCAATGTGTTAACAGCTCATTTTACAGCTGGTGAATCCAAGGCAGAGGGAAGTTGAGTCATGTACCCAAGGTCACATAAGAAATCCATCCTGTAACTTCGAAATGTCTCTTCGCATGTTCAAAGTCCACAAACTATTTATAGGGGCTGGTTAAGAAGAAAAATAAACTTTCTGAGATTAACAGTTGATTTCTAAAGCAGCTGGCATCAGGATACCATAAACATCCTTCTCTTGATAAAATATTTGTTAAAAACCGTGCTCGATCTTAGTCTACCGAATCTTTTCTGCTTTGCAAATCAGAAGTAAAAGTCCCTGTTTCTGCACAAAACTATCACCAGGTCACTTACCCTGGGACATAGCACACTGGTATTAGAAAACCTATAATCTAGTCAGTACATTTCAAGACTTGCCAAAAACTCTTTTGAAAAACTGAACAATTTGGGTTTATCAATGCATTTTTGCTACGTATTTCCTACAATGGTACTTCCCCCACCCAGTTCTGGTACATGTGCCTATGTGTAAGCCTGAGCATGCATGCTGAAAGGAAACTGGGTTTTTAAGAGGTTAAAACATTAGAGAAGGAGGCTGGTTTTCAGTGTTAGCATGATTCTCCTAGGCATACATAAGAAATTCTCAGGCAAAGCCCTACAAACCATAATTTGATCAGGACAACCACAAACAGCAGCTCTCCCACACTGTCAATGCCACACAAAACCACAACCAATCAGCCAGCTTTCTGCTTGAATTTATTGATGAAAACAAACCAGGCTTTGACCTGTAAATCCTCTTCAAGCCCAGTTTCCAGACAACAGTTGAGAAGTTCCTAGAAAGGGACTGTAGGCTAACCTCGTTTAAGCAACTGTAATGAAACCGTATTTACTGAATTAATCATTTAACTTTCTGTATGATCACAGAATCACAGAATGGTTTGGGTTGGAAGGAACCTTAAAGAGCATCCTGCCACAGGCAGGAACACCTTCCACTACAGCGAGTTGCTCAAAGCCTATCCAACCTGACCTTGAATGTGATCTTCTGTAAGAAACAAACACAGCTGAAAGTTTCACATATAACATGGCATAACCAAGAGCGAAATCACAGATGTGCCATAGGTACAGTCCTTGTAAGGCTCATTTCTTCCTTGCTTAGTGTTTACAGTGGAGGTGTTGTTTATGTGGAACAATACTACTATGTACTTTCTGTGAGGACATCAATCTTGATGTGTTTGGAGATCTGAATAACGTTTTTGATGTGTGGTAAGATTCAGAGCCTCGGGACCACTGCTGGCAGGGGGAAATATGTGAGCAAGATAAAAATAAAAAGAAACTAAGGAAGTAGCTCAAACTTGTTGTGGCCTTTTCACTTAGCCATACAAAAGAGAAAAATGCAAAAAAAATCAGGCAATACAAAGATCTGCAGGTTTGGTCATCATTTACATAACTGCATCACCACAGAAGCCATTGTTCGCCTTCTACTTGATCATCAAAGATCTTGGTTATGTAAGACAAATTGCTGCAGCTTACCTAAGATGAAGCTAAAAGTACAAGCTTACAATTTTACTCTATTCTTACATGAGATTGGCTTTGTTTTAAATTTTTCTATGCGAATTAAACCAATATAAATGTGGAATAGACAGATGTATCTATATTAGGAGCTGGACATAATTAACTATGCTGAATTTAAATCACGTAAGCTAGCATGACTTCTAGGTAGACAAGGTCTAAGCCATGATATAGATCATCACTCCCCCAACCAGCTGACTTGCAGTGCCTTTGATGTAAAAACTTATACAAATAAAGACTTGTGTGGATATTCACATTGTCTTTTCTGAAACTGTTTCTCTCAACTATTGTGAAATTAAATGAGAAATTACAAATACAGACTGCATTTCTTCCCTGGTTTTATTCAACTTGCATAACACTGCTTTGTGGTATTCAGTGAATACTAACAAATTAAAAGGACAAGCCAATTTAGAATTGGAAAAAGCTCTTTCTAGGAGAAATAGGTACAACCTCTTGAGTATTCAGATTACAGATCTCTAAATCAAACAACTCACCCAAAAACCAAAGTAGAACTTGGCAGGTTCTCTTTGTAACACATTGCAGGTCTAGCAGCAACTGCAACTGCTCATCCTGTACTGAAATGAGAATAAGCCACTATTTGCATTCTGGGATCTGTCTAAAACAGAAGACACCTGTATGCTGTAGGAAAGCAAGAACTCATAGCTTAAAGAAAACCAACAGATGGAGAAGGGTAAAGAACACAAAGCTTAATTTTATAGCACAAATGAGCAATTTCACCTCATCAAAGAGGAAACACCTCTTTAATGACAAAACTAAGGATATAAGACCAAACTCCAGTTGCACAGTCAATATACAAAAAAAAAAAAAAAAAAAGTCATGAGATCATAAACAGCGACTACTTTTAGTAATATTCCTCCCTGTTGAGGGGCCAGGACAAGGGGGACGCAGATCTGAGCTTGAAGATTAATGTGGTTCTCATGGGAATTTCACTACCCTGCATAAAGATCCAGTTCAGAACTAGAGAGAAGGAGAAAATGCAGAGTGCAACAAAAGCCTCCTAGAAATACTGGCGAGAGAGAAAAAGAGGGAAAATAAGCAAAAAACGGTACAGGGAACTAGAAACTTACTCATCATGAAGGCAAGAGGAGCTGAGCTGTTCAGACAGCTACATGTAGGAGACTTCTGCAGAGAAGCCTTACATGGCATAGCTTCAAGGAAAATGGATGGATCTAGCCAGGATACAGCAAAAGTCAAATCCAGACTGACACAATCACATATTCAAAACACACCACTGCTGATTAACACACCACTCTGTTAGTTGATCTACATATCTGGCAGTATCTGAAATAAAAATCTAGAGTTTTGAAGGGGATAAATAAACCTTCTTTACATAAAAGGCAAGATCTTGAAAAAATGAAGTTCAGTTAAGCTCGCATTAACCCCTGATACTCAGTCTCAAAACTGACATGAGTTGCTGGAGTGCTATAGAATGCATTTAGCTTCCTGAGCATAGCTTTTTAAGCAAGGCCAGCAATACAACAATCATGCAAAAGCATGCTCTGAAAGACACTTGTCTAGGAAATCGCAGAGGGCAAACTCCTAATTTGAGAACTGCAATGCAGTATTTGTTGGCAGGGTTATTGCTGTATTTATTAGTGAAATTGGCCCCAGAAAATTATGACAGAATCTGGAATTTAGAATTTTCATTGACTGTAAAATCACAGGGTGAATACATCACCTTCAGCAACCCAAGGAATTTTCAGTCCCATAAAGCATTAGTGAACCTCCAACCAATTAGAAGAACAGATTTCATCCATCATACATCACTGGACCTCACAACTGGCTTGGCTAAACACCCACATGCCACTTTGCATTTAAAGAGATGTGCTCTCACACATACCTGTCCCCATAACGTAAATATCAGCACAACCTGAATGATAAGGTGCAGACACAGTCTTTTGTTAATAGGCACTAGGTTTTTGTCTGCATATATGAAAAGCCTACCATAATGGCATCCAAAAATACGCTACAGAATAAAAACAAGGAGTGGGAGGTGGCACAGATTGCTCCTGCTTACAGACCCCTGAGTGTATCTGGTCCGCAGATGTAACTGCATGACATACTGTAAACTCTGTAACATTTTTCTTGTGTCCAACTGATTTATTTTTTGTCCTCTACCCCTTTTACATCCAAATAGCTGACAAAGTCAACGATGACTTCTACACCAAACGCCGGCATCTTGCAGAACTGGCTGCCAAGGGGAGCCTGCCCCTCCATCCAGTGCGCCTAGATGACAACAGAGCTTACACAATCGACAGTGGCCTAACCAAACAGAATGGGCAGAAATCCAGAATGGCAAAGATCCACACACACCCACTAGGTTACAATTCCCACTACAAGACCTGGGATCCCAATGACCAGTCTCTCAGACGGCAAGCATACACAAACAAGGGGAAGCATGGTATGGGAGACCCAACATTAAGTGACCCACTGACAACCCGGAGCCAGCATTATTTGGGCCCACAGCCATACTTCATAACTAACAGCAAGACAGAAGTAACTGTTTGAGTTTGGTTTCCTTTTCTTTTTTTTTTTTTTAACTGAAATCCTTTAAAATACACACACAAATACACACACAACACAAGCACTCAACTGAAAGGCAAAAAATAAATCTAAAAATATAAAATAATAATTAAAAAAAAAAAAAAGAAGAGAGAAGGAAGGAAATTACACCAGGACACTCTTGGTATCCAACCAACCGTAGGCCGAAGAGTGGGTTAATACCATTCAGCAATACACACTGAAGGTTGAATTATAAACTCCATTTATATTTCACAATGGAACACAAACCCTTGTGACTAAATTTTTTTACTTGAAACTAAAATCCATGATGAGAAGTAGCACAATCTAAAGAAACTTTATGTCTGCTTAAATATTTACACTATGTTCCTGCCTTGAGACAGAGGAAGAAAGAGAGAACGATATACTGTAATACATTGTTTCAGAGAGGAATTTTGTGTAAAACCTATTAATAATCACTAGACCTGTGAAAAGCCAAGAGTAAACATCTCGGTACAGCCCCCGACATGTGCTATCGTACTTTCACACCAACCTATAGAAAGCGCAAAAAATATAAATACAGTAAAGGACAAAGACTCTTTCACAAGGAATCCATGAAGACTGTTACAATTAAAAGCATATGGAACCTTTCTGGCTGGCAAAGAAATCTGCAGGATGATAACAAACAGCAGAAGATTTTATTTGAGTTTACTTCATTTGATCTGAAATTTTTGGGAACCTCCAAAATAAGAAGAGACATATCATATGACACAGAAAGCTGCTGGGGGAATAAGGGCATCAGAAAATTCCCTCGCGGTCCTCCTGGTTTCGGGCAGATGGTAACAATTCTCACTTTGCAGACTGTCAGGACTTTTTCTTCACCTATATGTTTTGCCTATCTTCAACTGCTTCAGACTGAAATTAAGCGTGGGTGGTGCCTTTACTGTATTACTATTGTTCAATGACAGTCTTGTTTCTCAAAGTGACCCCCCTGTTCCTTTAAGCTATTTCCTCATGTTTTGCTAAGGATGACAAGGGTTCTGCCCTGCTCAGCCTGCTCTGTTTGTCCCGAAGGGAAACTGGACTATATCGCCATGCAGTGGTTGCAGAGTCAAGACCATTTAGTTAGCCCCTCAATTTTCCCAATTTAAACTTCTTCCCCCTAGTCTCTCATTTTGTATTTGCTTTTAGCCATGGTAGTTCTCTGTAGTTCAACTAAATGTTATATGGTATAATGTCTCTATCGTTTGGCTTTCTATAGTGGCGTTCCCTCTTGGTGGACTATTTGGTGGAAGAGGCTAACGGAGTAGCCTCAAATGTCAGAGATCTGGGTTTAAACTAAACAAACAATTGGACTCGTGGTCTTGATTGTGGTTCTGATGAGCAGAATGCCTTGTTCGTGTGAGTAAAGCCATTCTTGAATTTGGCACTGGTAGCAGACTCACAGTCCTGGGCCTGTAAAGGCTTCGACACATCCACAAAGAGATAAACAGAGTTGGGATGGGATGGCGGTGCTGCAACAGCCTGGTGACAGGCAACGAACTCAGTCTTTCATTTAAATTCCTGCCCTTTCACCAGAAAAAAGTCATTTGGCTAAATCCTAACTATCTTACTACAGCTGCATTCTCACCAGCTTTCAATTCTTCCGGAGATTAGTTTTGGAAGAGTATGCAGGGAGGAGTGAGAGCTGTTCTGTTGTGAGTAGAATTGGAAGTGGCATTTCTCACTGTAACTGTACTCAACTGACTGGCAGTGTTTCTTAGTCAAGGATGCAAGGGCTAAATCTGAAATGTGGTTAAATGGAGAGACCTTTTTTTTTTTTTTTAGCTATACTGAGATTGATTTGCATCCTGAGAGCACCGGCATCTCTCCATAAGCGTGCTGCTAAATTGTATCATCATATCTTTGAGACTATCAGAAGCGGACGAAGCCCATGGGACAAATACTTTGCACACAACCCAGATTCTCCACTATCTTACTTTTATTCCTTTAATCTCTATTGCCTTCACAACTGGCTGACTTAATTTGACCCTTTATGGAATGTTGCTGTTAATCCATATGCTTTAGATACACATTACAGCTGCACTCTAATTCACACAGGTTTCGTGTAACTTGAGCATATTTTATGTGGAAATATTTTAGTAACTGTATGTTCTGTAAGTAAACCCGTGTTAATACTTGTTAACTACAGAGTTTATGATACCAATAATACTTCCTACAATAAAATGTTTGTTTGTTTTTTAAGAATGTTTATTTGTAAACATATGTATTCACTATATTAATATGAATTTCTTACCTGGCAATAAAATTGATTCTAAGTGAATCCAACTTGCTGGCTCATTTCTAAACTTGTATCATTCGGCCAATGATACTGCAGCCAGTGGGGTTTATCTCAGCACAAATGATGACTTGACTCTGCCATTGGTAGTATTGTGAATGAGAGGTTCTTTGGGAAGCAGCTGCATGTTTTACATGTTACACATGTGCAATGCCTGTTACATGCAATGTTACATAATACCCAAAAGGTGCACAAACCTTGTGGAAGCCTCCAAGCATCACACACAGCTTGTGTCACTTCATTAGCCAATTACAGTTCGGAGGAAAGAAAAAAAGGTGAGCATGTCACCTCCCATATTAAGACAGGCTAAGAAAGTTGGAGCTCTTCAGCCTCGAGAAGCTGCGTGGTGATCTCACAGCAGCCTTCCAGTATCTTAAGGGGGCCTACAAAGATGCTGGAAAGGGACTCTTCCTCAAGGACTGCAGTGATAGGACAATGAATAATGTGTTCAAACTAAAACAGGAGAAGTTCAGGTTAGATATAAGGAAGAAGTTCTTTACTGTGAGGGTGGTGAGGCCCTGGCACAGGTTGCCCAAAGAAGTGGTAAATGCTCCATCCCTGCCAGTGTTCGAGGCCAGGTTGGACAGAGCCGTGGGTGACATGGTCTAGGGTGAGGCATCCCTGCCCATGGCAGAGAGGCTGGAAACCTTCAGGTCTTTTCCAACCCAAACCATTCTACGATTCTATGTACAGCTTCAAATCCTGGTACTCATCTCTGCATGGAAGTTCTGCAATAAGCTTCAGCTCTGTCCCAGGATTGAAACAACCCAGTTAGATCAGCTGAACACTGGTGTATATTGCTTCAAATTTTTTAATATGTTCATTACAGGAAAACCTGTAAACAACATCTGTGTGCCAAGTCTGCTGGAACAGAAAGTCCTCTACAGGCTTTTAGTACTGCTAATGGCTCATAAACCTGACAAGGAACATAATCTCAGAAAAGAAGAGTGTTTGGGTAGCTGCTTCTCTTTGCTTTGCTGCAATGATATGGGATGAATTTCAGGAGAAGAGATGAAGAATTGAGATTCTTATCTTTCGAATCCACTTAGTGCATGACTTGGTACAAATTCTTTAAACAATTTACGATTCCTAAGAAGCCATGACACATTATCAGAACAAAAATATCCATCCAAAAGTGTCTGGAACTAGCCATTTTAACCATGGCAGTCAGGTGAAGTTCCTGATGA